TTGTGTGGAAAAAAAAAAAAAAAAAACCAACGGCACACAAAAAATCCCTAGCTACCTCCCCCACAAAGCCCCAGTAGCTAGAGGTAGTTAACATCCCCCCCCCCACGGTGCAGGGAAACCCTGCACTCAACTCACACCTCCTGCGGCGCAGACAGCCGCTGCCCTCCCCCTCTGGTGCTGATGCCCCCTCCCACAGTGCACCCAGCACAATTCCGGGTTCAGGGTGTGGGGCCCCTTTAGGCGCAGGGCCCGATTCGGGGGAATCGGACAAATCGGCCTAAGGCCGGCCCTTAACCCATTCCTAACGGGGTCACCTTTCCCGGGGTGCTGAGGTTTGGCTGAACTTAGTCCTTTATTCCAGCAAACTCAGAGCTCCCCTCCATGCTCCCGTCCCCCGCCTCCTTCACCACACTCGAGTGCCCCCAGCTATGTACTGCACCAGCTCCCGCTGCTCTACTCCTTTACCGACACCCCCAAAGAGAAGCAGCTTCTCCCCGGCCCTGAGAGAGGCCCCCTTCACTCCCTGCAGCCCCAGCTGCTGCTGGGTGGACACCGACCTTCATACCACGTGGAGGACACCAGCCTGGTGAGGAACAGCAGCAGGAGCGGTGCTTCTCCTTGCGCCATTGTAGCATGGACGGTGGACCTGTGCCTGGGGGGCTAGAAACCAGCAGGCAGGCTGCTGCCCAGAGATCCCAGCAGGCAGCAGTGTAGACTGGAACCTAGAATAAAGAGAAATGGGTTTGAAACAGAACCCAGGGCCACTGGTTATTGCTCCACACTTGCTTGTTTTCTCCCCCAGCTGTGCTCTCCAGGCCAGGGTGGTCAGATCCAGATTTTTCCCCGGTATTGTCCACCCCAGGCATTGACAACTCAGGAGTCTGATGCCTTGCCATCCCGAGGGGCTTAAAAATTACGAGATTTTGAAAAATAGCAAATGCTGGGATCGCTTTAAGGGGTGTTTTTATTTTAAAGCCTCCAGGAAATCCAACATTGAGGGCTAGAAACTTCCTTTAAAAAAATGAAAGGAGAGATTCCCTGAGCTTTCAGAACCCCTCTCCACCAAATCATGAGATTCATGATAAAATCATAAGAGTTGGCAACACTGTTTTCCACCGAATCAAAGGCTGGTTAATGTGGAAGAAATTCATGCTGAAATGAGACGGGACTTACTCCAAAGCGGGTAGTTTGAGACCAAGTTCCAGGGTTCTGTTAAGTAATTCTAATAATCTGGGCTCATTTCTAACGGAAATTCACCACACCTAGAGCACAAGCAGATCATAATTATTGGAACCGAAGGGCCAAGTTCACCATTGCCCTACATCTTGTGCGATCACTTGCACCATTGCCGTGAGTGAAAAGGCTCCCAGGTCAGAAGAGGTGTGTTTATCAACTGATTGATGCTAGTGTGAATGGCTGTACACGGGAGGAGAGGGGGGGGGGGGGTGGGGGGGGGGGGGGGGAGGGAGATACAGAAGCGAGGATAAACCCTCCAGAAAAGAGGCTAGCTAAATGCACTGGTTAGTAACACCTCTTCCATCCCCTTTCCTCCCCCCTCCAATTTTTTTCTCCCCTCCTTCCCTTATTTATTCTTGGTTGTGGACTTCCAGCACTCCGGTCATCTGAAGAAGTGGGCTGTGCCCATGAAAGCTCATGATCCCATCGACATGTTTTGTTCGTCTTTAAAGTGCTACCAGACTATTGGTTGTTTTTTAAGTTTTTCCTGGTACAGACTAACTCCGTTACCCCTCTGAAACGTCTCTCTAGGACTGATTTTCTGGAGGAGGGCCTTGCTCCAGACAACATGGGGAGAGTTTCTTTGTGACTGACTCTCTAGGTTTGTTTGCTGTCTGAGTTAGAGCTTCCCTTCCCTCCTCTGGGATTCAGCCAGGGCAGAGCCTGGAGGCAGCTGCCCCGAGTGAGGACAGGTATTAGGGCCAAGGCAGGGAGCAAACATTATTTACAGGAAGCTTGGCTGGAACAGGCGTGAAAAAAAAAATGCGTGCTCACTGTTTAGTGTGGCTTTAGGTCAGTGCTACTGCAATAGACGAGTGCGGCGGAAATGCATAAGGGCTGGGGAACTGGGGTACAGGACAGAGAGAGGGGAAGGAGGGCAGGCAGTGAAAAAGAATGAGATTTGGGGGGTGGGGAGAGGCACACAGGCAGACAGACTGGGTACCAGGAAATCCTAACTAAGAACTGGGAGTTTGTCTCTAACAAACACAGAGAAATAGCCTGGCAAATTGGCAAGTAGTTTTTGAGTGGAAAAGCAAAACAGGACAGAAATCCCTGCTCCTTCCTGGCGATGCTGGATAGTATATTTAAAGACACCCCGACTCCCATTTCTATTGTTCCAAGTCCTCCCACTAGCTCATATCGCTCTTCTAGCGTGTCAGATCATGCTCATCTCTTGAACCCCCCTGGGCCTTCTGTATACAGAGAAGCTTGTCCTGCCTGTAGTAGTACCTGCTAGCTGGGATCCTTCCCCTGCCTCTGCAGGAGGAAGGTGTCTGGGGCTTGTCATGCAGCATGCAGGAATATTTGTCTTCAACCTCAGCTCCAGGGGCAGCCTGGTAGCTTAGTTCAAAAACTTTCTGTGTCCACGCTCCCTAGAGGGTCCCTTTCCCTTGTGGATGGACGTCAAATAGCTGGTTAAAGCTGCTCTTACCTGTTGCGCTGCTGCTCCTTCTCCTCACCCTCTCTCTCCTCGCCGTCTCTTCAGGAAACTTGTGTTTTAACTTTCTCAAAGTGAGTGGTTTGTTCCGGCATGTCGGAGACTCCGCTAACGCTGCCCAGATGTGCGGGTGTCTGCATCTGCCAGATGTTTTCTTAAAGCTGTAGTGTCCCTCAGAGAGGAGGGGGAGAAAAGAGAGAAGGCTAGGGAGGAGGACCTTAGCCGGAGCTGAAGGATTGTCACCCTATGCAGGGTTCTAAGCAGCTAATCTATCCGCTGAAGCCCAAACGTGGACAGGACGGTGCCTCTCTCCTTGGCTTGCAGCCCACACGTACAGCAATAGCTACAGTAGCTAAGCCTGAGTCTAGGATATGGAATATTGAGGGCTGCATAATTCATGACTCAGCATGAGCAGGCTCTGCAATCCAGGGGACAGCAGAGCAACATTTCATAGGCTCCACCGGGCAGCCACTTTACCACAGTTCCCTTTGGCTGCACCCTTTTCAAATCCAAGCCCAGACCCAAGGATCAGGGAGGAAGGAGAACAGGCTCCCAAACTGGGCTAGGGTTGCCAGGTGTCCGGTATTGAACCAGACAGTTCAGTATTTTCGCTTCCTGTCCGGTAAAAAAAAACAGAAAATACCAGACACTTAAAATGTCCGGTACTTTCTGATTTTTTCCTGGCCAGAAGGCAAAAAGCCCGAGCTGTCTAGCTCAATATGGAGGCAGCCGGGCAACCCTAGTGCTTACCCAGTGTTTCCCAATTTTATTTGGCCATGGAACCCTTTTAAACTCAAAAGAATTTTGCAGAACCCCTAATCACAGTCTAATATATGGAACTGAAAAAGTAGACCACAAATAAGAATAATAATAAACAAATGCTAAACGAGGTCATGAGATCAACGTTTAGTTTAATTGCACATATTTAAAAACAAAAATCGCATCATATTAATTATTATTTTTTTAATCATAAAATGTTATTGTAATGGAATTTTCTCGCGGAACCCTTATTTTCACTTTGTGGAACTCCGGGGTTCCACGGAATACCGTTTAGGAAACGCTGGCTTACCAGGTTCTGCAGGGGAGCTGTCTGGCCCTGCGCAGGGAGGCAAGATGGCGGGCAGCCACCGGCAGCCTGTTAGGGCCAAAAAGCCTCACCACGTATTTTTTAAAGGAGCCACGTTTTTTGTTTTTTGGGGGGTTTTTTGCTTAACAACTCTCGGAGTCCTTTTTTTTCGGTATTTTTTCTGAAACCATCTGGCAACCCTAACTGGGCAGTGTCTAGGGTTGCCAGGTGTCTGGTTTTCTACCAGATAGTCCCGTATTTGCGCCATCTGTCTGGTAGAAAAATTCAGAAAATACCAGACACGTGCAATGTCCGGTATTTTGTGAATTCCCGGCTGGGCACCAGAGGGAAGCCTGGCGGGGGTGGGGGAGCGACTGGGAGGCGGAGCGCAATTGGCTTTGGGAGCCCTGTGGTCATGTGCAAAAGCTGGGTGGGGTGGGGGCCAGGACTCCCAGCCACGCCCCCCTCTCCGCCTGACTTTTGCACGGAACCAGAGGCTCCCAGCGCCAGTCATGGCCCATCTCC